TGTGCAAGACCTCAAGAAAATTCTCTACTTAGTGTCCAATCCATTAACAGTATAATTAATACTTAATAGTAAATGTGTATGTTTATTTTTAAATAAAAAATTTGTTTTTTGAATATAAAAATCTATTTATTATACTTAAAATAATATTAAAAGTACGAAATGCATTATGACGTCTACTCTCCGCATTGACACGTTTAAACTTGTGATTCTTGATTCTCGATCTCGACGCATCGCAATGCATTACGCTTTTTAGAACACTGTTTGAGAGATCCAAGAGACAATCCACTTATTCATCCATATTCATTCTTGAGACCCAGCAACCCGGTTTTTGAAAATATCAGAGGTTCCATAATCCAAAACACTTGGCGTTCTTAATCTTTTAAGGAATTGACACTTTCATTGAGATTTGGAAGAGGTGGACTACAAGCACCGGAAGAGCACAATAATTGGAGATTCTTGAAATTCCACTTGAAAGAGACAATAGAAGAAGATCGGGAAGTTGGAAGGAGACAGCAGATCAAGAAGCTACATGAGGTAGAACGGGAAGTCTAACATATTAGCTAGGTAGTGTCTACGGTACCAGATCGTGACTGGCTTGGTCTTAGAGTTTTTCCCAATTAGGTTTCTCCGTCATCATATTGGCGTTCTTTATTTACTGCTTTTATAATTATTGTTTATTATACAAGCCGCGGTATTCAAAAATAGGATAATTTGAATTATTTAACTAATCACCTTAGCATAATTAATTTGTGACTTATTGCTTGTTAATTAAGATTTTAATTCCGTATTTACACCTAATCACCCCCTCAAAGTGTAGTAAAGTCGAATCTTACGTTTCTCAAAAAATACTATTCAAAACTATGTTTTTCAAATTTTAAGACCACTAAATAGAGGCTAAGAGGGGTAACACTAGTCGATTGTGCTATATGTACATCACAATTACAAATTCATTTGTCAACAAATGATGTGGTGATATATGATTGAATTAAAATTTCACCAACTAACTAAAGAATGAAAAATTTTCACTTTCTTTTTGCTACTTCACCAATCTATAAAAGAATTTTGGGATTCTAACTACAATTATTTCTTTATTTTTTTTTTCTCTTTTTTCTGTTTGTTTATTTAAAGAAAAGGATGAATTCATTGTTTTACAAAGACATTA